TGTGTGTGTGTGTGTGTGTGTGTGTGTGTGTGTGTGTGTGTGTGCGTGTGTGTTCGTATGTTTGTGTGAGTGTGTATGTGTATGTATGGGCACGGGAGAGGAAAAGGTGTTTGGGAGGAGGAATGAGGGAGGGAGGGAGGAGAGGAGCGGGTGGGGGTGGGGGCGGGGGTACCTGACCTGTATAGTATTAGTAGCTCGTCACCGTATGAGAAGCAGGCTAGCGTAGACAGGATGAGTGTAGGTAGCAAGGACCTTGTTTAACCTCCTTGGTAGGGAGCTAATTCGCGTACACCAGAGCTCACGACCGGGCACGCATGCACTCACGCACATGTGTGTGGAGGCGTGCTGAAGTACTTGGCGCGTGAATTCACCACTGCACAGCGATCCGTCGCTCGGACTTTCGACCTTATACTACTTAATTATAGGCGTTGACCTGACTGACGTGTGTAAGTAAATAAAGTGTTATGATTTAACGCCGCTATCAACATTATTCTGTTATTTATGAGGCGGCACCTCCGATTTTTAGCCCTGGATAGAGAAAAGTGGAAGATGTTTTTCCGTGGCCTATACCCTGGTGCAGGGTGAGAAAGGCAATGATGATGATGATGATGACCTCCGATTTAACGCCTGTCCCCGATAGTATGTGGTTATGTGTGTCAATCAAATTCCAACCCGTCATCCTTCTTATCTATCCTCCTTTTTTTTTTTACGTTACTCTCTCGTAACACCTCTCATCTTCGGCACTTGTTTGGCCCGTTTGTGTTGAAAGTGTCATGAAACTCGTACTAAAACTAAAATTATAGCTATATTCTCTATATATCAGCATGTGGACGGTGCTAATTAAATATAGATCTAGTAGATTCTCCAGTATTGTCTCAGATAAATTGACGCTCCCCTCGCTCAGGTCGCATCATGCTGGACTACGGAGCAGATGGCCCAGATCGAGTTTCAGACTAGGCGTTCTTGAACTCACCTGGCTCGGTTCTGTGAGCTGAGAGATGGAAATTAAATTCGAAGGTCCTGCCTCCTTGAGACCTAAAAGAGTTGGGGTCTTCTTCTTCTTCTTCTTCTTCTTCTTCTTCTTCTTCTTCTTCTTCTTCTTC